TATGAACTGTTGTATACTATTTCCGAAGCTTGAGATAAAGCCATTTTGGCTCCATACACTACGTGAATGACAATTGGGGGTGGGTTGGGTTGGACGGTCAGGCCCACCTCCATGTACGCCTCGAAGTCCAACTTCCTGATCGAGGATTTAGAGCAACCCTAAACCCGAAACTGCGGCGCTTGTTGTAGGTTTAGAGGCAGCGGGTTTGGCGGGATTTCCACACTGGGAACTGGCAAAATATGCCGCATCAAAGCACACCACAAAATCACCGGCTTTCCCTCAAAAGGACCCGAACGAAGCCCTGATCCATCCTACGTTTCACTTTCGGGTGCTTAAGCGGCTGTGGAGGAGTAGATCCCAGGTGAAGATCCAATGGAAACTGTGATCACAGAGCCCTTTACAAGGTTTAGGAAAATGAGGGGGAGTGCGCTATTGTGGTGCTAAAATAGTCGGTCCGTATGATCCCCGATAACTACCTATGTTCACTCCCCTACTCCTTCTTTAGGCAGCATCAAGTTAAGGGTGCATGCCGGGCGTATGGCTCCATTCGGCAAGCGTGGCTTGTCATACATTTCTACACCCCAGGCCTTAAGCCGTCAGTCCCAAATCGATGAGTTTAGCTCCTGGGAACACTCAAGGGCGGAACTGGATGAGAAAACCTACACCCTCAAAAGTAAACCTTCTACATATATATATATATGTATAGTCCCCCTTAAGTAGATAGAATATGTGGGGATCTTATTAAAGTATACCCAGGGCGATATTCTATCGACTTAAGGCACTATAAACCCTGAACGCTAAACCCTAAACCGTGTTGAATTCTCACCAGCCAATCCTGGAGAAGAAAAGTAGGTTGAGACTGGAGCCGCAAAGGTCTGATTGAACTGTACTGCCCCAAACTATTTTAGGTTCCCCAAACCCTAAACCCTAAACTATCTAGGTTTAGGGCTTGGGGTTTAGGGTGTAAGATTTGCTATTTAGGCTTTAGGATTCAGGGTTTCGAGTTTAGGGTTTGGGGCTTACAGTTGCGGGTTCGAGCGCGGGTTCAGGGATTAGGGGTGGTTAGGATGCTGTTGTGCCTTCTTCTAGCACGACAGTGGTCTTTCAGTGTCTTTTTGGAGGATTCCATGCGAGTTTGGGGGAGGGGTTTAGGGTTTAGGTGTCTGGTACTCGCGGAGACTATATCTGAATAGTTGCTGTTCGCCGCGTTCGAAGGCCCAATAAGGCTCCCGAGTCAGGTTGATCTTTGGCTCTCCGAACACTCAATGAGGAATCCCAAGAGTCTCGAAGTGCAGAAAGGTGCAGGGCTTAGGGTGTCCAACCAAGTGTATATAATGCAGTCGCCTGAGAATTCCCAAGAAAGGCGTTGCGCTTTGAGGTTCAACAGTGGGGGTTTGGGGCTTAGACAGCAGGTGTCGGCTTCTTCTGCAATGACAATACTCCATGTTGTTGAAGGTAGGGCTTGAATGACACAGTATGGCCAGGACACTCCCCACCAGATCCTTAAACACGCTAATTTAAGGAGTTCAGGGTTTAGGTTCAGGCTTTTAGGATTCTTCCCCATATGAGCTATAGTCTAAACTCCTAGTATCCCCTTAAATAACCCCTATAGTAGTCCCCTATAGAATCCCCTATATAACCCCCCTTTAAGGAGTTTAGACTATGGCTCATATGTTCCACACTACCGTCCCATCAGGTTGCCAGAAGCCTACGAAGAGACCGGGACAATCCGAAAAATGAGTGGTTTAGGGATTAGGTTTTTGGGATATCCCATCTCTTGATGACTGGGACATACAAGGGGAAGGGTAACCCGTTTCATTTTTATCTGCCCCACCCGAAAGCTTTGAGAAACGCCCATCCCCGCGGCCTACTCCAGTCCAAGAGGAGGTCGTCTTCCCCATTCGGCGTGGCGGACTCCACGATTTGCCTCCTGCAAAACTCAAAGGCGGTTCCACAGCTTGCAGGGTCACACCTTGTTAGCATCGTTCTTATGGATTAGGGCTTGTGGATTTAGAGCCTGAGTGAGGTTTGAACATCCGGGGGCGGCCGGTAGATGGTCCCGTTTTCAAAGGACAGTTGTCTTTGTAGGCCCCCTTGTACGCTTCCAGGTTCATTTGGTGGAGGTGTAGGACTTATGGCACTTTTTCCTGCTATGCATAGGGTGGGTTTGAGGGCCGTATAGAAATCAGTTTTTCATTGCTTTATAGGGGTTGTATAGAGGTTGAACCAAAAAAAAACCCTAAACCTTGGATCCTCGCCCACCCAGCAACAGTTGGAAAATTTTCATATTATAACTATGTATATTTATATAGCCCTTAAACCCACTCCTATAAAAGGCAGGACCCAACCTAAGCCCCATGACTTAAACTCTAAGCATATCTACCCCTCCGAGCTGCTTGCTCCTTGCTGGGTCCTGACTACCTTTTCGTTCCGGCTCGCTACGCTAAGAAATAACTGCGGTTCAGGGTTTAGGGTTTACAGTTTAAGTTGTGTAAGCTGTGTAAGTTGGGTAAGTTGGGTCAATACCCACCCAGTAATGTGTACCATAAGGACTATTGTAGGTATATTAAGGCCCTATTAACTCCATATTTAAGGGCCATTACTGTCGGGGGGACCCTAAACCCTAAACCCTAAACACTAAACTAAGCTAGAGATCTCGAGGTTGGGTTGAGGGAAGACACTAGTATGGGCCCTTGACCCTGACATCCTTTCATATCTACTATATACCCTATATGTACTCCTAAAAACCCCTAGAATCTCCCCGAAGGGCCTAGGGGCCATATTAGGGTTTATTAGGGGCCCATACTTCTAACCTTAGATACAGAGATCTTCTTGGCCTGGCTCTGAATTCCAGATCCTGAGCCCTGAAATCCGGTGCACACCTGAACACCAAAACATGAAGATTAAACGGGTAATGCTTTGTGGGGTGGTTGAACCCGGTCAGCTTATATTCCTGAAAGAAAATACGATACTCAAAAGGAGGACATAATCTTATTCCATATTGTGTACCATAGTATCAAAAAAACACTGCTCAAATCGAAATTGCCAAGCTGCAACTCCTGATCCATGCAAACCCTCAAACCCTTCTAAATCGACAACCACCCTCCCCCAAACAAACAAAAACTAAACTCAACACCCTTGAACCCCTGACCCTAAGCACTCATCCAAATTTCAACCCCTAACCAAACCCTGACCCCTAAAGCCAAAACCCCAAACACGAAACCCGCAAGCCCCCATCTTCCTCAAACCCATCAGCTACCGAATCCAAACCCCGAATCTTACCCGTAGCCCTAAATCCTTGAATCCAAACCCTAAACCCTACGACCCTAAAGTTTAGGGTCTTAGGGTTTAGGGCTTAAGCTTTAGGGTTAAGGATTTAGGTTTAGGGTTTAGGGCCTAAACCCTAAACCCAAATCCTTAACCCTAAAGCTTAAACCCTAAACCCTAAACCTAAATCCTAAACCCTAAACCCTCAACCCCGTTCAGGGAGTCCTGGGTGTCTCCCCTTCCCAGGCATCTTCGTCCGGAGAAAGCTCTGACGGAGGCGGTACCTTAGGGTTTAGGGTTTAAAGCTAGGCCCTGTTAAGAAAGTTCTATATAGAAATATATAATATTTCCCCAATAATGGAGAATCAAATGGAAGAGCAAATGGAAACTTAAAAGGGAAACTGGCCTTATGTGCGGGTAATAGAGGGTGTATCTGGGTTCCTGTTGAGAAACTTACTTTAAGTTGTCATGTTTTTGGTATGTAGTAGATTATAGGGTGTCCTTTTAAATAATAACTTCATTTTGATTCCTCAACAGCAACCCAGTAATATGAACTGCAATGGCTTGTTTAGGATTTCCAGGCCAGGGCTGAGGATATGCAATTGAGAGTTGAGAGTTCAGCGTTGCGGGTTCAGGGTTGCGGGTTTGCACGCGCGGGTTCTAGAGTCTAACCCGAAACCCTAAACCAAAGCTTCAGGGGATTTTGGGTCTAGGATTGCCACTTGGAGAGTCATAGGGACTTCGTAAGACCCTGGCCTAAACCCTAAACCCTTATATTCCTATTATAGGTACCTAAGGGGATACTGCTGGATATAACAGCAGCTTGCAGGAGTCGTAGGCATAAGTCCTAGGCAGCGTATAGAATTCCCAGGGGCAACGAGAGACAATTTCGGTATGACATCCTAAACCTTAAACCCTAAACCTCGGACCCTTGGCTACAGCGATCTTTGTGAAGTATCCCTAGTGACTTTCCAAGATTAAGGGTCCCAGAATCATTTGGCATAAGGCCATTGTGGCAGTTGCTCAGAATTCTGCGTAAACTACTACACAAACCCCTGAAGGATCCAAAAGATGGAACCCCCTGATAGCCCCTAGTTTCTCCAATGCAGTGTTGGGATATCTTAGGGGGATGCGTGTTTGGGATAGTTTAGAGGAAGCTGAGTAATATACAGCCTGGACAGCCATCAGTACAGTTCCACTATAGATCCTATACAGATATGGCAAAATATATGGGGTAAGTGTTCCCCATGTTGGAAGGATAGTATATAGCCGATTGTTTTTGGCTAAGTTGGTTTTCCGGGACTCTAAACCCTAAACCCCAAACTCGGTTAAGGAGGGCTTGGGAATTTAGGGCATCATACCGTAAGCCCTAAACCCTAAACCCTAAACCCTAAACCCTAAACCCCCGAAACCGCTTAGGGTTCGGAGGTCTAGGGATGAAAATACTACAATGCTTGGTGTAAGGACTAGAAGAAGCCCTCAGTCCTACATGTCTGTAAAAACCCCTATGTATATAATGGGTTTAGGGTCTTAGGGTTTACGTTTTAAGGTTTTGGGCTTAGGGTTTGGGTGTTGGGGTAAACCCTAAACCCCCTAAACCCTAAAACCCTAAACCCTAAACCCTAAAACCCTAAACCATAGACAGCGCCTATTTCTTGGCATCCCCCAAACTCTGAACGCTAAACCCTAGCTTGGAGATAAGCACATTGGCGGTAATTTGAGGGCCCAGCTGCAGGAAAGATCGGCGATGTGGGGGACACCTGCTGCTTTTCAAAGCGGGGTTTAGGGTATAGAATGCCAGTAGCCCATAACTACAATCTACTTCCCGAAATCTTGCACCAACCTAAATCCCATAACTCCTAGGATTTACAGTATTCAAGGGGCCCTAACCGGTGCAAGATTTCCTACACCAACAATAAGAGGCGTATGTGTAGGGCTTGTAAAGGGCTACATAGGGAGAGGAAAAAAGATGAGGAGGATCACGTTGACCCTAAGCACTTGATATTCCGGGAATTCTGGTGTTCTTGTGTAATAACGCTTCTGAGCAACACAGGGGCTTCCGGGGTGGGCTAAAGCCCAAATATTAATCTATAACATGATATCGGAGGATATGGTTGAGTACTGCCCCAACCCAGTAATTTTCTATAATAAGGGGAAGCAGTACGGGCTTGATATAACTGTGTGAAGATATCATCCAGCAGTTACTGTGTGAAGGCAATATCCACGGCAATAGCCAAGATATGGGTGTTTTCTCAAGTTTTGGGGTAGCTTCAAGTGGGCAACAGTAAACAACCTAGATACGGTCCGGAATCCGCGGGGATGGACGGGAGTCCCATCTGAAGCCGAAAATGTCTTCCCTATGGAGCTCGGATTTAATGAAGGTCCTTGGAAACCTGGGACCACACCCTTACGTAAACTATAAACCCTAAACCCTGAACCCTGAACACCAAAAGCTCAAAACCCCAAACCCCTAAACCCTAAACCCCTAAATCCTAAACCCCTAAAGCCTAAACCCTAAACCCTGCCCTGAACCTAGACCCTGAACCCAAAAGCCTCGCTCAGCATCTCCTGTGACGCTTGACTCACGCCGTAGAGCTTCTGAAACCATTCCTGGGTTGGGACGGTTACAGGGTTTAGGGTTTAGGATCAAAAAACTGATAGGGGGTCAAAAAAACTAGGATAAAGGATTCCCGAATTGGGGCGGTTCAGGGTGTAGGGGCCCTAAACGGTTGAACATTATCAAAATCTAAATGTTTGGAGCAGTGAGGTTGTCAGCACCGCGACATCTCACATCACACGTGCACCCGTTCATCACTCCATCCATCCGCGGTATTAACATACATTAAATACATTTTCTTAGTATAGAACCAAGACATCCTGTATTCCACGGCAAAACCCTCCACAACGCTGTCTGGAATTCAGAGCAAGTCACAGGAAAGCAAAGTGACAAACGTGGGAGCGGAGTGCTTCCACGGCATCTCATACACGAGCCATAGTCTAAAATCCTAGTATCCCCCTTAATAACCCCCATAATAGTCCCCTATATAGTCCCTTGTAGAATCCCCTTTGAGGAGTTTAGACTACAGCTCACATAATCCTCACAGCATCCCCCCACTCGTCCATGTACGCGGTGATGCTGCACTCAAGAGCGTCGTGCGGAGGCTACATCCTCAGCACACTCCACACAGGAGCACCGTCAATAGGCCGGGCCCTGAACGCGCTCCACGCGGGAGGCCGGATTCTGAGGATGCTCTATGTGGGAGCGCCGTGGGAAGACCGGGTTCTGAGGACGAGTGTCGATTCCCAGCAAAAGTCTGAGAACGCTCCACGCAGGGGCATCGGGACACGCCGGGAGCCTCAAAGCAAAATCACCATGAAGAGCTAGCCTCGCGCAAACAGTACGAAAGCCTAACATCATACCGTCAACCTCACATCACATCAGACCTCATGAAACCGTACAACAACCTCATTGCATCATCCCAGTCACATCATCCCTTGAATCAAACATCAAGCCATGCGATAGACAATCAGCCCTTCGCAACGGCTTCGGAAAAAATGCTACTTGAAACTTCAAAAGTCCAGGTGAACCAGATGCCCAATACTCTCCCTTGAGCGGTTTAGGGTTTGGAGTGTGTGCATATTCTATCGGGCATACTACGGGTAGAGTACGTAGGGACTATTAAAGGGATCTATTCCTGCAACTCCAGGGCAGCAGTTTCTGAAGACCCGAAAGCCTAAACCCTAAGACCTCAGCCTAAACCCCAAGCCCAAAGCCCTAAACCCTAAACCCTAAGCCACCCTAAGCCCTAAACCCTGAGCCCTGAACCCTTAAAAGTCCTGGATTAGCACTGTACACTGCCAAGGATTGGCTAGCAGCTGCTCAACTACCACCCCAGGAGCCGTGAAGCCAAGCGTGCCCTGGCCTATAAACCCCTTGACCCTAGGGTTTAGGGGTTCAGGTTTAGGGCTTAAGGGCTTAGGATTTAGGGTCTAAGGTTTAGGAAAAAACCTGGACCACTAAACCCTAAGCTACAAGCCTAGGCCCCAACATCTAAAGAGCGATCAAACCAGAACCCAACATCCCACGAACTTGCCAAAGGGCGATCTTCCGCAGCTTTCGTATTCGCTCCATATCCTCTTCACTAGCCCTAAGGGTCCAAGGACCCAGAGAATAGGGCTTTAGGGCCCAAATACCATTAACAGTAAAGTAGTTGGGCCCTAAAGCCCTATTATTTGGGTCCTTGGACCCTTAGGGTAGGTAGGGAGATTAGACACTAGTGTTATCTACTTAGAATATGTAGAGTCTCAAATGGAAAACACAAGGAAAGTGACCATGGACATTGCGCTTGTCGGGCTGACGTCGGCTCAAGGTGTATCACGGAAAATCTCAGGCTTAGGGTTTAGGGTCAATAATCGATTTCCTGGTTGTATAACTTGGTTTTTTCCCTACCTAGCCTCTTGACAGCTGTAGAGATTCAGGCCTCAGGCTTTAAACATTTACAGTTTAGGCTTGGAGGAGTTGTGGGACTTGGGGCTCAGGAATTAAGAGAGCAGTTCGCGGGGTTTAGGTTTGAGGGTTGAGGGTTTAGGGCCCTAAACCCTACACCCTAAACCCTAAACCCCCTAAACCCTAACCCCCTAATCCCCAAAACCCCAACACCCTAATCCCTAAACCCTAAGGGAGGGGCCGGAAGGCTTGGCTGAGAGAAGAACGTATTGGGCCAACCCGTAACCAATACTTGGGTTTAGGGTTTAGGGTTTAGGGACCTCTGAGGGTCCAAGACCCCAAAAATGGGGTTTTAGTGCCCAAATACCCTTAGTAGTATATAATAGTATAATACTTGGGCCCTGATTTGGGTCCTTGGACCCCTAGGGAGACCTAGAATGAAAACGGCACTTTTAAGGACTCCTTAGGGTTATACCGACTTACGGTCCATAAGGAGCTTTTGCTAAGGGGCCATCATCACCCGAGTAGGTTTTGTGGTCAAAGTTACAATGATGGGGCATGACCCAATGCACAAGCCTACAGAATTCCCAACATTGTTCACTTATAGCCCGGAGATAACTATAGTACCATACGTGCCAAAAACTGGTCTGATTGTTTTGGCAAACCCTACTAAACCCTAAACCCTAAACCCTTGCCCTCGGTTTCCTTGGAAACTTGGAGGAATCGCTAGGAACGCTCCCTGAAGATGAGGGCTGTTAAGGGCAATGATTGCGGCGCCCCCGGGACCCCGGACACGCGGTGTAGGGCTTAGGGTTTAGGGTGTAGGGTTTAGGAATTAGGCTTTAGGGTTTCGGGATTAGGGTTTAGGATTTAGGGTTTAGGGTTTTTAGAGTTTACCTGAACCCCAAACCGTTATAACAAGCAAAAACTAAACACCATTCTGGGGACATTCCTGACATAGAGGGATGCAGGAGCCATGGGTTTAGGGTTTTAGGGTTTAGGGCTTACTTGGGGATGAGGAGGGTTGAAGACGTAGTCGCGAAATCTCTTGGCGGAGCACTCCATGGGGGTGTGGGGGCTGGAATCAAAATCCCTTGAGTGGACCCCCCACCCAGCAATAGTGACTATAATGGATAATTGTAATTGTATTATTGTAATTGTGTTATTCGGGTCCTTGTATTCTTAGGGTTCTCTTATAATTTACATTATACCATGATTACAGGGTGGGGGGGTCCTCCTACACCCTGAACCCTAAACCGCATAGGGGGTCCTCTTAACCTATCCTCGGTACTTCCACCGCATTTTGGTAACTCAACCCACCACGTGAGGATCCTAAGGGTATCACATGTCTCTAAACAGATCTAACTTTGGGGCTCCCTTGGAGGGTAAGGGGACTTAGCAAGTATACGTAGAACCCATACAAGCTACACAATAATCGCATTTGTCCACATTCTTCGCCTACTTACTTAGTCCCCCCTGACCCAAAGCCTGCAGCCTAAACCCTAAACCTGAATCCTAAACCGTCAGCGCGGTTAGGTTTTAGGGCTTAGGGTTTAAGGTTTGGGCCTCAAGCCCACACAAACACGGTAAAACCCAAACAACGCAAAGCCCGCTCAAAACCCCGTCAAGACTCACGACCTGAAGAGTGTACAAATTCTATAAGGTTTAGGGTTTATAAGGCAAGGTCAAAACAGGAACTGCACCAAACCACGTCAGAACTCCTGACCAAAGCCCTATACGATTTGTGAAAACCCTGAAGTTTTAGGGTTGAGGGTTTCAGGGTTAACCCTAAGCCTAAGGCCCCAGCCCCAAGAGAAAACATATGCTATTGAGGCGCCGCCCGTCGCCGGAGCTTGGAGTAGTGGAACTTTCTTGGAGGCCTGCTATAGGATGTATGGGGTTTGGGATTCCGGGTTTACGGCTTAGGGTTTTTTTATCTAGGGCTTCGGGTTTAGGATTTAGGGTTTAGGGATGATACGCCAAGAATGGAGAGTAAATGGAAAGGAAATGGAAAATCAAATGGACAACTTAGGTTCCTTTATAGGGGGCATGTAAAAGCCCCAAATCTGAAACCTAGGAGTCTGGAGTGGGTACTTTTCTAACGTACTTTGAAGGCCGAAATACGAAAAAGCAGGATTTGGATGTAGAGAATGTTTCAAGTGTATGAGGGCTGTGACAGAAAAAGCTTGGCAATGCATCAGGCTTATGCATTACTTCGTCGGGCCGGAATGCTGGTAAGTCTTGGTTCTTCTCTACGACACGTTCCATGGTAGTTTCTCAAAATAGGGGGACCCCAATATAAATACCAAGTCCTTGATATGGGACCCACCAAGAAGGTACCCCTAATTTTGGGAAACCCCCACATAGACCCTAAACCCGACACGTCACTGCGCAGGCTAGGAGAGTTTGGGGGATTTGCAACTTGGGCTTTGGTTTCCAGGCTTCCGAGTCCAGGGATTAGGAATTATTAGGGTTTGGGTTTAGGGTTTAGGGTTATGCGGTTTCAGAGTTGTGGGCTTTGGGTTTCAGAGTGTAGCGTTTGGGGCTTTGGGTTCAGAGTTGTTCAAGGTTTTGGGCTGAGCTAACCCCTAGCCCGAAACCTTACGCAAAAACCTTGACATTGCAATCGGTGGGTGCTGTCACCCTTAGCAACGAAATGCCCCTGAACCCCGCCCAACCAGGGACTACGCGTTTGGAGTTTGGGGCTCCCTGAACCCTCAACCCTAAAGCATGTGAGCCATAGTCTAAACTCCTAGTATCCCCCTTAATATCCCCTATAATTCTCCACTATAATATCCCCTATATAACCCCCTTTAAGGAGTTTAGACTATAGCTCATGTAGGATTTGGGAGAAGCATTGAGGACTTGGGGCTTAGCTATCAGCACGTAGGGCTCAGCCCTTGGGTTTCAGAAGCTGGGGCTTAGGATCTAGGATTGGGGGGTTTAGGGTTTAGGGGGTTTAGGGTTTAGGGTCTAGGGTTTAGTGTTTAGGGTTTAGGGCTTAGGTTAAGGGATTTCGGGTTATTGTTAAGAGCTTAAAGTCTGGTGTTTACATTTCAGCGCTCGAGTGACCCTACAACCCAACCTACTCACCCGCTGACCAACCTTATAGCACAGGTATCCATACCAAAAACACCACACCCTGAACCCTCAACCTTAAACAATAAGTTCCAAATCCTAAACTCTAAACGCTCAACGCTGAAGTTCCGGCAGGAGCCGCATACACCACACCTTTCTTGAAGGCTCAGGAGACTTATATAGTCAGGAGGTTGGGGTGGTATAGAGTTTTGGGTATATAATAGGTTTTACGGTTTAGGGCTTTAGGTTGTCCCCGAAGCGGGATTGGCCTGCTCAACAACCTCCAATAACCTGCTTAGTACGTCTCCCGAGCCTTCAAACACCCTTCATGATCACATTTCTGTAATTGTAGTCTACGCCACAAGCCTATTCCAATGCACCGCAAACATCTCTCCATGGCCCTTGACAGCCCTACATAATCCCTAAACCCTATTTACGGCCGTACATTACACTTGCGGCACCCACCTACACCCTAAACTCTTGAACCCCAACCTGAAATCCTGACCTTAACCCCTAACCCCTAAAAAACCTACACGCCCCTACATGTCCCCTATACTCCTGTGTACCTCTACATATCCCCCTATGCTCCTACCATTTCTGACCCCACCAAACCGAGGTCCCTGTACCTCCTTGCCGTGAGCTTTTCCATCTCCTATCAGGGTTTACCAGGGTTATGGGCTTAGGGTTTAGGGCTCAGGGTTTAGGGTTTAGGGTTTTGGGTTTAGGGTTTAAGGTTTAAGGTTTGGGGTCTAGGGCTCAGGGTTTAGGGTTTAGGGTTTTGGGTTTTGGGTTTAGGGTTTAAGGTTTGGGGTCTAGGATTTAGGGTTTAGGGTTTAGGGCTCAGGGTTTCGAGATGCAAGTCAAGGGTTTTAAGTGCTTGCTTAGGGCTTAGGGAGGTTTGGAGCTACGGGGATTATGTGAGCCATAGTCTAAACTCCTTAAGGGGGGGGTTATATAGAGGATGATATAGGAAACTACTATAATGCTTATTAAGGGGGATACTAGGAGTTTAGACCATGGCTCATATAGGGATTGTCTGCACAAGGAGTTAAATCCCCCTTAAGTAGATAGAATATGGGGTATATGGGGATCTTATTTTAATATACCCAATGCCATATTCTATCTACTTAAGGGGAACTATATATAGGGATTGTCTGTACAAGGAGTAGATGGGGATTGCATGGGGTTCGGGGTTTGGAGTCCAGGATTGGGGTGTAGTTTTAGGCTACGAGTCACATCTGATTGAATCCATGGCTTTCAATTTTCCTCCCGTGCTCTTCCACCAAAGAAGCAACCAGGGCAAATTCACCAAAACTAGGATGGATTCTGGACCATTAAAAAAAAACAAACATTGTATGCTTTTAAAGGGATGAGATTTTGAAAATCAAAAACGGATTGTCAAACCTAGCCATGAAAGTATATCACTAGGCTTGCAAGTGATTGCCAGCTGCGGTGGCTAAGGTGAGGGCTTGAGCACAGGGTTTAGGAGTTAAGGCTTTTCGGAGAGCATGTATAGGCCGGCGGGCGGGTTTCTGGTAGGGAAGAAATGCCAGGCATCTCGCCCCAAGAAAGTGATTTGTTCAAAGATGGGGGTCCTCTTTGCATCTCACAATCTATGAAGACCCTTATCAGTCATACATACAGACCCCCTTTAATGTTGCAGCTGCACTGCGAAAACGGTTGGTCGCGATTTGAGAGCCTGCATGTGGGAATAGGGAGCTGTGCAAGCATACGGCGGGTAATCTATGGACGATGCGCAACACCAACTGGGTGATTGTCAAAATTATGATCCCTTTCTGGATCCCTATTATAGTACGGCCCCCAATATTTAGGGTACCCAAAANNTAATTTTGACAACCACCCAACTGGCTGTGAAGCAGCGCGACATCCCTGAAGCAGGAGCTATCAGAAAACAGAAACGCTTCCACATCCCAATTCTAACCAGCATGGGCGCACTTGCAAACCCAAGTAAGGGAAACAAGTTCAAATCGTTGCAACAACAGCAATACAAACAGAAAGTACAAGTGCAGTCTGATGATACCACACACCCCAAGCCCTGTATACTTTGAAACCTTCCTTCATAATCCGTTACAAAAGAACCTTTTGAACCAACTTACCAGCGCCTGAGGGAGGGCGGGGTAGTCGACCCGTGAGGTCCCCATATAGACCCATATATACCCCCGTATTAGTTTAGGGTTTAGGGTTT